ATGTCAAAATGAATGATATGATGATCAGTGAGGTGTATCTCTCTTTTTTATATCTTGGTTCCATCTTTATGATGTATCACATAACAGAATTATATACACACAAACGCATATATTTATAAATTCAGCATTCATTTCTTCGAATCAATATGCTAATTTGGTAAATGACAATAGAAGTTTGTTTTTTTTTTGATGAAAAATAGATTGATCTAGTTTCTACTCAATAATGTCTATCACTTATATCTGGTGTTTGTATTAGTGTGTGTATGTGTTGTGTGCGGTGTTTCTTCAATATCAGTCTCGAACTTAATTCAAACAAAAATGAACATAGAAACAAATGTTAAAATTGAAGAGAGTATCAAGTGAGTGAACATTGATTAGTTCATAACTTACAAGGGTACATGTAACATGAGAATCCGTCGGTGGCTTTATCCGAATCCTTCAAATAACAACCATAAAATCAGTTAGTGATCTCCGACGTAGTCATGTGATTTGTGTTAGATGGTTGGAGAAAATGAGCTAAAAGACTCACATTTGTTTCGCTTTTATTAGTACACGTCATTAAGGCGTATCTACAATTTTCATGGAAATGATGATGTCCAGGTAATTGTAATATAGATCAATCTTATATCATAGTTAGAAGTATTAACAGCAAGCGGCTTAGGCAAAGAATGATCTTCAGTGAAACTGAGGTATCAAGTTTGCTTATTCTTTGGAGGTGACTAGATTATGTTGATCATATTACAATGAAGTGACTAATACGACCAACTGGAAATCATGGTCAACCTTTTTGTTTGATACCAGATGATTGGTAGGAATCAGCAGAAAACCGTGGACTTGTGTTTTAAATTACTCAATGTGAATTTTCACTATATTCAATGTGAATTCTCAATAAGACAATAACTCCGAAAATAACACTGTCCATACAAATCGCTTTCACAATAAGAGTTCTGATGAAAGACTAACACTCAGTGAGAATATCTCTATTATGTGTACAAAACTGATTCAATCTTGGTAAGATAATAAACAATATGTAAAAACGAATGAGGTGTTAACAATAAGCCAAGCAATAAAGATAACAACCTCAATCAAAATTTGTATTCATTCATGAGGGCTCTGACTACCGTTATGTTAAAGATTACTGAATGTCTAAAGTTTAAAATGTATCGTGAGAATTTTATCACCTTAGATTCTATAGACTGTAATCATAGAATTTATGTGAAATTTTTGTACAAAATGTGATACTCTATTAATTTTTCCAGACAAGTATAAGTGAGTCCGAATTCACAGAATGATTGAGTTTAAGGAAACTATAAAATGACTATTTCCAGTTCATCGATTTTGTGATACCGATGACAAATTTAGGAACGATTTCATACATAAAACATTCAATACATTTGAAAAATTTCAATAGTTGAGATCATGAACCGATCGATATGAGATCACCATGGAAAACCTGGAAGCACTGGAAGGCCGTTTCATGCTCTTGCGGAACTCAGCAGTGTGCATCCACGATCTTACCTCGCGAAATTCGAACTCAGGACCTATCGGTCTCGCGCGCGAGCGCTTAACTATTAGACCACTGAACCGGCATCCATCGGTGTTAATGTTTAACTTCGACCAATCAACGAAATTGAACGACACATTCACCATTGTCTTCAGTGAGTTACTATCTCACAATAGACCCGGTTGAAAAAACTTGCAGAATCTTATCGATTAAGCTTTCCATGGGACTGATTAAGTAAATGAGCTGATAAGATAATGAAGTATGGAGGAATGAACAGTTACCAGACTTAAGTATCATGCTTACAACCAATGTATCTCGAACAGAGTTAAGAAACAAACACCATTAAGGATAAAGTCAGTGTTTCTACCGCTAACAGCTCACCATAATTATCCTATGAATTAAAGACGAGTTATGTTATATAAACAAATAAAAATGAGGATTGACCGTTTGTTCAAAGGTATTATGATGACAATGACAATAAAATAGTTTGGTCATATACTCAAGAATACTGTTTCATCATCACTTCATACATTCATATGTATCCATCTATTCACTTAAATACTCAGTTTACAATTGATCTATTAAGGGGTTAATAACAGGGAGATCCAATTTGCAAATTGTTACCCTGGATTTAAGCAAACTATATATATCAGTCAGTTACAACGTAAGACCAGGCAAACATATACATCGGTCCAAGTTACCATACCTCATTAGCACAACAACATGAACACCGAATCCATAGAAGTAGTTAATTCAATGGTGGTAATATATAAAAGAAAGATGGCATATAAGGATATAGTACAGGAAGAAAGAATTAGTTCATAGAAATTAAAATATCAAGCGATTTTAATCTCATAGTTTAGAGGAAGACAAAGAAGGTATACACCGACGCCATTGTGATCGATTCTGAGTCATGTCAACCAGAGTCTCCAACCATTGGTTACAATAGTCATGCGGACCCGAACCATATAGTCTGTATCCACCAACATGACTGAGACTAGAAGTTCGTGACTTCAAGCACTGATGCCACGTTTTGGTTTGGCCGCCCCTATATATAAATATAAAGGACTACAAAACTTTACTAAATACTGGTTATCTTCCAGAAACGGATAGATACAAATAAAGTACATTGTTGTTTTTCTTCTTTCTTTCCACATTACATGATCACATGAAAGATAATATGCAATTTTACAGTAAAATGAGTACAATATAATCAATAAATCTTCATTCATTTAACACCGATTTATACCTACAATAGATTGTCATGGTGACTTGTTACAATCTAATTAGAATCAACCTTTATTATTTTAATTAATAAAAATTAAATAGATATGTACTTGATGAAAATATTCAAAATATAAACACTAGTTAGTTCACTTTCCGATGTAAATCATAATGTTATGGTGATCAAGGTCATTCTTAAATGTTAACCAATTAGGAGTATAACTTTAAGGTTATAAAGAAAGTAGTTCATTATTGAAAGTATCACAATCGATTAATCATTCAATTAGATAAAACTTTTAATAAAAGAAATATCATCCTTGATGGATTTCATAACCTTGAATAACCAATGAAGTCTAAGTATTTGAGTGAACTATTATTTATATGAAAAGATGAAAATTTACACTTTATATAAGAATTTTAGATTGTGTAAAGATATTTATATAGACTATTCATGAATGCTTTCTGTTTTAAATAAAACTATAATGAATATCAAAAGGGGTTTTGTGGAGATTGTAGTAATTTCAATAGTTGAGATCATGAATCAATTGAAGTTAGACAACCATAAAAAACATGGAAACACTAGATGGTTGTTTCGTCATATTGTGAGACTCCTCACGATCTCATCTCGCGAGATTCGAACCCAGGACCTACCCAGTGCTTCTAGGTTTTACAATCACCATCTTATATAACTATCAAAATTCGAATGCATATCAAATAATGGGTTAATTATCAAACACTCCGTCAACATTGATCACATATCCACATCAGGACTTTTCTGCAACTATATTAAAAAATTTAAATGAAGTGATTTACAGAGATTATGGATTAAAATCTTGGGTACATCAGAGACCTCAGTAATTCCATTGGAATTAGAACTTTAGGTTAATTGAAGGTTTTCAATGGAAAAAAATAGTTGTTTTAACCAGATTGTCTTGTCTCTAAAAGTTATTGATTTTAGAGTCATCCAGATGTATTGCAGATAAGGTTTTAATATTAGTTAAAATGCTATAATTATATAATATATATAACACATAAAAACCCAGATATTACGTCATAATTATATTCGGACTAATATGAAAACTTGTTAAACATTATTAAATACTTTCTAACCAAAGACGAATAGTGGCTAGCAGTGGAATTCAGTTTGACGCGCATTTCGTCCTATTTGGGGCTCGTCAGCTGGATGTGTCTGCATCTCAGAGTTCATGTTCACTCTAGGACTCAAACCCAACACCGTTCGCTTTTAAAGCCATCGTGCCCCGGGATGAATATCAACTTTGGAATGCAGATACATCCGGCTGACGAGTCCCAAATAAAACGAAACACACGTCATGGATTCCACTGCTAACCACTATCAATATTTACTTATAAATCTTGTAATCCAAAGCTATATCGATGCAATCTACACAGGATGCACATACTGCCAACAAGACACTAATCAATTGCAATCCTAAATAACAATCGAAAGATACAAGTAAATAATACCAAATGAATTATTAAATACTTCTGAAAAAAATAAATTTCATCTTAAATAGACTCTTTCATTACAATCATTGTAACAAACTGTTGAAGTATTACACATAAGAAATATCTGATGCACAGATTTATTGTATGTTTGAAAGGAATGATGAAACTATTCATATTTCCAGTTAATAAACTACATATTTAGAATCTACTTTATCTAGTTCGATTTAGTTAACTGAATCATAACACTTCATTCATATGAATAATTTGATTTATATTACATAATGATATCTTATCGTTTAAATGGTAATCTTCAATAATGCAAGCTATCAGTTTCTAAATATTTCTTGCTTTGCTTAAAGTTTATCCCATCAAACTTATTATACTTAACTGTTTTTTACGGTGTACAAATCTGCACCTGATTCCTAAGTTGTCGTTCTACACTCATTGAAACACTCATTTTATAGAGGAAAACAGGGAACAAACAATTCATCGGTCTAGTGATTAAGCGCTCGCGAGGCGGGATCATGGATGCGCACTGCTGACGAGTCCCATTATAGGACGAAACGCTGTCAGACAGTGCTCCCAGGTTTTCCATGGTTGTCTAGCTTCAAATGACTCATAATCTCAACTATTGAAATTACTACAATCTCCACCAAACCCCCTTTGATACTAATTCATCGATCATTGAACTTACTTATCGTTTCGATAGTAAGCTTTTTTAATTAAAAAATATATAATCAATAAATCAATCAGTACTTAAATAAACACTAATAACATGACATAATAAATAAAATAATTTGTTTACCTGATAATTTTCGTGGACTTAATCTGCCTATATTTTGTTGATTAACAAATAGTCTTGCTTGACTATAGATAAATTGTGCATCTTTTTCACAACGTTCCGTAACCGGATCCACTAGATCACCAGAACCCGGTGATGATGAATTGATATAATCAAAGCTGTGAAAAATAAAATTCTCTTTATTTGATCCATGATCCATTGAAGTTCTATCCGGAAGAGATTGATGATCATATGCTTGTTCAGGGGAGAGTCTTTGGTCAGTAGATGAAATTCGACTTTTTACATATGGATCAGAAGATCTTTTATCTACTGTGGGGAGAATTGATGTAACTGTAGAACCACGATGTCCTTCTGTATAAGTTTGTGGTAGCGATGTTGGTGTATCGCGATACTGATTATCTAAATGTTCTTGCATTTGAGCAATACGATTATTCCATTGACGTTTAAGTTTTTCAAAATTTTCTTTAGATTTCGGACTACTTACAATTGGTTTAGTTTTTCCAGGTGGTTCAGCCCGTCCAATTATTGGGGCTTGTTCTTTTGGCTGACATGAATTTCTACTCGAAGTTAGTTGTGGTTTTGGTGAAGCATTTCTTTCAGATACTTTTAAAGTTTTCGGTGGTGAAGGCGGCGGTGATTCTGGAAGCTGTGCAGGTGGAAGGGGTGGTGGAGGATGCAGGATTAATCGATGTGTCTGGGGATCACATTCATCCTTTTCTTTAGGATATACTTTTTCGTACACTGTAACACTTTCAGGCAAAATATTGCTACCATCAAATTGCCCAACATTATCTTTCTCATCGCTATCTTCAATCTCTTCTTGAACAAGCACAATTTCTCGTTTACGTCGTCGGCTTTCAGAACGTTCAAAGTTAAAACGATTAGGTTTTCTTGAAGTATATTCAGGTCCCATATATCCTAATAGTTCAGCATCGTGAGATTCAGTGGAAGCTAATAAAATGGAAGCCCAATAGTCCGTATCAAGGTAATCACATATTCTTTCACTTTTACTAACTTTTAAACCATCTAAATGAGTCGAAACGCATAAACTAAGCGTGACTTGAGCTAAACCTTCTTCAGTCATAAACGCTTCTTGACGAATAATACCAATTGTTTGTTTATCAGGCAATACAAACGCCGATTGATATTCACGTTTAATTTTTTTGCCAACAAATGCAATCGATGAAGAAGAGTCTGTTTGTAATGAACGAAAACTTAATCCATTTAACGGCAAACTATTCTCATCTCCGACTCGATCACCAACAGAGACACTTGTTTGTAAATTAGTCTCTCTTGGTGATTGATTAGAAAAAATCAACACGGATGGAGATTTATCCTCATCGAGTACAATTGACATTAAAGATCCTAAACTTCTGGATAGACTGTTATAATGTCCATCTTGTCGGCGTAGATTGCTTGCTGTCCAGACTGTGGTCATTTTGTTATTGCTTAACTGAGAAACGCCCTTTCACAGGTCAACTGAAGACCACTTTAACTGTCTACCAATCCATCGGATTAGATTAGTTTAACTGAAATAAATGAAGTCGAAAAATATATAATTTTCTGTAAAAGAATTATTTATGTTTGACTTTAATAGGAATTTCTAAATAGCTATCTAAATTTCTAGGTGACTGAAAGCTCAGTTCGTTTGTAATTGTAAATCAACTAGTCTTTCTCAGACATTGACAGTGTTCTAATAAACCATATTCTGAATTAAATTCTTAACAAGGGTTGAATAACAAAAAGGTGCACAAGTTAAACGGAAAGATATTCTTCAAGACCGAAGATCAAATATGGATAAAGACTCTGACATATATTCAGTAGCACAATTTTATACCGATCTTTCTATTCTTCTAATGTACTTACTTTTCCGCCCACATCTATGTTAGTAAAGCTAATGAGAAATGAATTGTGACAAGGGTTTGTCTACTACTGTTTGTCTTCCATTCAACAGTGTATCATGTAGAATGCGACTAGTTTCACTGTGAAAAATGTTCAACTCTATACTACTTTCACTATTTGATGAATCTTCTTGCGTAACTTTAATAATATCAGAAGGGGTTTGTGGAGATTTTAGAAATTTTCACAGATTGAAATCATGAGTCAGTTGAAGCTAGACCACCATTGAAAACCTGGAAGCACTGGACGGCCGTTTCGCCCTAGCATGGGACTCCTCAGCAGTGCGCATCCACGATCCCGCACCACGCTGGGCTCGAACCCAGGACCTACTGGCTTCGCGCGCAAGCACTTAACCATTAGACCACTGAGCCGGCATCCAACGGTGTTAATGTCTAACTTCAACCAATCCACGAAGTTGCGCCACCATATACCATTGTCTTCAGTGAGCTGATATCTCACAACAGACCTGGTTGTACTCCACTGGTAACGGCTTCTCACTAGAACTCCAGGAGTCAGTCACTAGTGAGCAGATGATTATTATCAGAAGGGGTTTGTGGAGATTTTAGAAATTTTCACAGATTGAAATCATGAGTCAGTTGAGGCCAGCTCGCGCGCGAAGCCAGTAGGTCCTGGGTTCGAGCCCCGCGTGGTGCGGGATCGTGGATGCGCACTGCTGAGGAGTCCCATGCTAGGACGAAACGGCCGTCCAGTGCTTCCAGGTTTTCAATGGTGGTCTAGCTTCAACTGACTCATGATTTCAATCTGTGAAAAAAACTTTAATAATAGTCATCTCTAATTATTACTACATAACCCAACTAATTATCACTCATTCTGTGATTTCAATTTAGGTGAGAAATGCTTCAAATATACCTGTAATCAAATATTAGCAAATTACTTATGTTTATTGTAATGAAATGTCATGTTTCATGGTTACAGAATAATGTACGGAGTAGACTTGTGCTCGACTAAAAGAAAAATCATTGAGAATAAATAATCTTTGTACTATTTAAACTTAGATTAATTTTGGGTTGTTTGTTTATTTACTCTAAAGAAGTGGTTAACACCGGGTCACGAAACTCATTGGATAATGACCACATTACGTCAGGAAATTGCTAGGGTTAAAGCTATCACGAGTTCACTTAATCTCCAAACGAAAAACAAGACTCAGGGACCAAAGACCAGTAAGCTAGCTATTGATGCGTCCCAGCCCCTCTAACTAGAGGGAGAATGTTATAATCTGTTTTCTGACGGTTATGACCCAGCTATTCCTATTGCTTAGTATTCTCGGACACCGATTCACTCGACAAGTCCCCAAATCAGAACACGGTTGAACAGGAAAGAGATTATATTCCAAATAACAAGGTTAGATGGAGGCAAGATGCAAGCCAGAAGCGCAATAGGGAAAACGTCGGTATATTTATAGTTTCTACATAAGAAGATTCCAGAATATTCTCCAACTACTGACTAGTGCTGATTGGATAAGAATTAGCCAATCAGCGTGCACCAAAGCAATCATGCATTGAGCATGCTTTAATCTAGTCTATGTCCCGCTAAGCTTGGAATGGGGAAGTATGTTCTGCAAACAGACAGAAACGAGCGATAACAACAAACACAATTCAAAACCGTCCTTGGGGTGAGTTACCAAATAGCATACCAAAAGACGCAACGGACTAATAGCATTTAAGACATTTCCCAGTGGGAAATACGACATGAAGGTGACAAGTGTTTTTGGCGCGAAAATAAAGAAATTCAAATTTTCTAAATAAAATTGCAAATTTAGGTCTTTTCCCAAGTGAGTTCTGGGGATCTAACGTCCCTAACAGAAATAGAATCAGATATTAAAAGGGTGAATAACAACTGAAAAGAGCTGTAAAGGATTGCCCAGAACAGTGATGGATGGAGAATGCTGATGAGCTGACTATGCTACTTCATGAGAAATAACAGGCGTAAGTAAGTAGGTAAGTAAATATTGATTTATTTACAACAATCTACTCAATACTTAATTTATTTGAGATGATCAAGTCAAACCATAGTAATGATACCTACAAATTTATTAACCATAGTTTATATACATTTGGTAGATAGAAAATTTACTAATATGAGAATAGAAAAGAAAAGAAGTTTTTTTTATTTCTAAGTATAGTTTAAACATACCTTTACTTAGATGTACTTGAATGTAAAGTGTGTTCTTTTTTTTCTGCTTTTTTTTCTTAAAAAGAAAAATATGATCCACTTAAATAGAATGTTACCATGGAAATTTAAGCAAAATATTATAAGAAAATATTATATCCGAGTTCAAGTGTTCGTTGGGAATAAATTATATTATTAATATTATTACTACTATTATAACTAGTATAACTATTATTATTATTATTATTATTATTATTATTACTACCATTACCATTATTATTATTATTAAGTCCACAGTATCTGTGCTAATGTGGTATGGCAACTCGGACTGATGTACGTACGTACGAAGTTCTTCATTGTTATTGAATGACTGACTGACTGGATAAACTTCATATTTATATTACTGATATTATAATTTTCATTTCCAGTTATGTAAAATATTATGGGTATATTATTCATTGGATAGATAAATTCTTAAAAGAAAAAAATGTATAAATTCAATTAGTGTTGTTTTACTCGCATTTTCTCATTGTTATTTAAGATTGTAATTGATTATTTTCTTGCTGGCTTATGTACATCCTGTATGGATTACCTCGATATTGCCTTTGGTTACAAGATTTATTAGCAAAGATGGATAGTGGCTAGCAGTGGAATCCAGGACACGCGTTTCGTCCTGTTCGGGACTCGTCAGCTGGATGTACCTGCATCCCAGAGTTGGTGTTCAGTCTGAGACTTGAACCCAGTACCGTTCGCTTCAAACGCCATCGCGTTACCCACTTAGTTACTGAGTCCTAATAACCACCTGCTTGTGTAATGGGGTGAAGTTTTAAATTCAACTGGTGTTGTTTTACTTATATCTTTTGATTGTTATTTAGGATTGTAGTTCATCAGTCTCTTGTTGGTATATGTGGATTGCCTTCATATTGCCTTAAGTCACAAGCTTTATAAACAAAGATGAATAGTGGCTTGTATGTTATATCTTCTTATATGAATGAAATAAATTGCTTCACAATAAGTTTTTTTACAATTTTATCTATTCGATTTTATAAAGTAGATGTTTTTCAAAAGAAAACCCCCCGGAAACTCAAATATCATCTAAAAGATAGTTGAAAATCATAGAGTTTTAGATAGTAGGTGTCTTCGAAATTCTAATTACTGACTTTATTGAAATATGAACACAAAAATTCAACATTTACAGATCGATCAGTCAGCGACAACATATGATCAGGAACACATATGCATCGGTCCAAGTTGCCATACCAGTCAGTCAGTCTCGTGTGCTGTTACCGGTATGAGGGCTGATGTCACCTCCCGGCTGCCCACACCGTGGAAGGGTATTTCTTGAGGAACCTGAAAAAGAAGTTGGATTAATGTTGGCCTTAACGAACTGGGAGCATGACCGCAGAGCCCAAGGAACAACTGCTTGAGGCCGGTCGCGCACGGACTTTTCGTGGGAGGTTGTTAATGTGTTAGCCTCGTTCTCCAAAGGGACTTACCGCCGGAAACGGAAATCCGTGAGGTAAGGTGAGGTGTGACATTTTTAGGGCCGACCTTTTCTAACCCCTTCCTTCCTTGTGAGGAGGCAGCATCGCTGCAGATGTTGGTTGTCCGAGGTAAACACCTTGCTGCTATCACACCCCTCTACAGTCAGCAGTACGACTTCTCCCTCAGACCTTGAGTTGCTGATTTTAGTCTTACCGTTCTCCAATCGAACTGCCTAGCATGGTAGAACCTACAGGAACATATGTTCCAGACAATATAGCTCGGTTGGGTCATCAGGATAGGCAAGCCCAACCACCGCGTAAAGGTAGCAGCTACGGTCGGGAGTTGCCATACCGCATTAGCACATCAAAATGGACACTAGATTCATAGACGTAGTTACTTCAATAGAGGTGATATATAGAAGAAAGATTGCATATAAAAGTATAGTACAGGAAAAGAGAATTAGTTCGCAGAAAGAAAGATATGAAGTGATTTTAATCTCTTAGTTTAAGGGAAGACAGAGGGTGTATACACCTCCATAATTTACAGATCATTCTCATAGTTACTATAATCAGATTAAATCATAATGTTTGAACATATAGATCAACATTTTCAGTTTTCATCTTGCGGTACTGTTCTCATACGATTTACTTATTATTAGTGGCTTTATTCAATATTAGATTTTTGGTACAATATAGAATTCTCAACACAATGTATTTCAACAAGTTTCTGTTTCTTAATTCTTCATTGATCCTGACGATAAATATTGGGTGATCGTCAGTTAAGAGTTAGCAGTCCAGTCAATTGACATCTCAATAATGTACATTCTTTTCAATGCATATTGCCAACAACCATGATATCTGTGATTGGGTTCTGTTGTAACTTGTACAACGAAAGGTTGTATACTTTTCACAAACTCACCTAAAT